CAAATATACGCGATTTAAATCCGGAAAAATAGTTTCATTTCCTATGTGTAACAATCGCGAAAACTGCGGTCGGTGAAGCTGAAGCTGCGCTTATCAATATTGTATGAAACTTAGTGGTGGAGCGCCTGCAGTGTCACAGACGCGCACTTGCAGCACTTCTACAAGCATGTAATTGGAAGGCGCCCCGATTGAAGATTTCAAATAACACGAAGTCACATCGTGATACCTTTTAAGCTTTCAGATCAACGCAGTACAGTCACTTTAAGTCTATGGCTGTAATTTTGAAAAATAACCCATAGTGTACTACCTACATATAGACCACTTTATTGTTTAGCAAATTATATTACCCCGAAGTCCCTGGTGTGCGGATATTGAATTATAACGTTTGTCAAGGGTCTAATGTTCATAACCCTCTTAGGGCTAACTTGAGAAAGTCATTTCCGAAGTCCCATTAGATGGCAGCACAATCATAATGTGACGTTAATTTTTTATTAACATAATAAATACATAATGCCGTTGAATTTAAATTATAATCCAAAATACTTATACATACCACAATACTTATATAATACACTCGATATATATTACTTTTTTCCTTGTTTACCAAAAGACAACACAAACGAGTCGTGTACCTGGTGGTAAGTAACGTGTCAACCTATAACAGATGCAGTGCCACTAAGAGATTAAAATCGCAAAAATGTGACCTGAACGTTATTACTGCAAAATATTTTTTTTGTGTCGCATAAACAAGCTCGTATATTGAAGAATTTAGTTAGAGATGGAAAATTTCGTCGAGTTTCGCGCCCAACTTGGCAACATTTAAATTAATTCGAAAAAAGACGAGGCTCACTCTAAACTAAAAATATGAACCACTAACGTCTCTTTAGTTATAATTATACATTACAAGCTGAACCTGGCGTAGCAATCCCACTGTATGAAAAAAAAAACTGGTTTCAAAAGTACATTAAGCAAAAGAATTCTCTTTTCGACTGTAGACGCACTTGTTGAAACAACTAGCCCACCTGGTATTTTAAAGTGATTTAGAAACTTTTGCGAGCACGAACATAACAATTCATGAAAGTTTTTTGACAATCGGATGAATAATAATGGAACGCATACTAGACTAACATACAACAAACATTCATAGCCGTATAAAGATATTAATGTATGCTACAGCTTTGTGCGGTGAAAAACCAGGCTCCCTGGGGTAACAGGCAAACTTCTCGCTAAGAAGCTTTCAGTTCGTCTCGTTAAAGCTTCCTGTGACCAAAAGGTTGGCGGGTACTTCCGCCAAAGAATAAACTTAGCCATCCAAATGGGATGCGTTGTCAGCTTCCTGAGCACGATGCCCCAGGATGCTCTCGTTGAAATTCTCGACTTTCAGATGAGTTTCTTCGTCTATATCAAATATATTTAGTGTAAAATTTCGTTTTATACCTAGACCTTATAATTGTGCCAAATTTGTAGTAAATCCTAATCTGTCCAATATATTTTATATATAATATAGTTATAATTATTAATACAAAGATCGAACACAAAGAAAAATTCCTTCGATCTGACAAGAATCGAACCTGTGTTATTTCTAGTAACTTTGTTTTATAATCTCACTCAAAAGTGCACATTAATGGAGGTATGATGTTTACAAATTTAGCCGACGCATAATATTCATGATAGTCAGTAAGTGTATAAATAATATTGTATATTTTTTTAAGAAAAATGGAAAGAATGATTAAAATGGTAATCTTATATATAGAAGTAGATACGTATCGATTTATTATTACAAGAATGGCTTATTCATGGCTTGTGCAGCCTTTTATCACTGCAACCAGCAATTGACCTATAGTAATTATGCTTTCTCCTCGCCCGAGACTGTTTAACGACGCAGTATACGTTGGTTACGGGAGCTAGTGTACCCAAAGTGTACTACATCGTTAAACAGTCTCGGACAAGCAGCTTCGGATCATTATGATAGAAGTTCACTTAAGGTAAATTCTCTCAATCATGTAATTATTGTACATACTCATAACTTTTCATAATGAAGCGAGTTTTAAGCTCATATTAAGTATCAATAAATAACTTTTGACTTGAGTAATTATTGCAAAAGTTCTAACAATTTCTCAAAACTTGTTCAGGCGACGACGAACGAAGCTAACTCAAATAAAACTTATCATAATAATTAAAACACCAAGGTTTGTTGACCTTTAACTTATTCCATGCACCAGCAGGGAAGTAGGTAAAATTAAGCCAGACGAAAAACATTGGATGAATTATATCCACAAAAGTCAAAATGGCCAAAATTTTTTATTATGATACGAAGTGACGGGAAGAACATGTTGTGCGCCTAGTGGTAAGTGAGATGCCTGTCCATAGCAGTTGCAGTGCCACCCAGAGCTTTAAACTATAAAGATCTGCGGAACACTGACATTACACTTGTCACCTTGATGCATAAGTTGACAAGTCCCATGTGCCTGTTATTTCACCTGCACCCTTATCCTTCAAAACAAAAAATACAGTATTGCGTACTTTATTGTTTGATGGCGATAATGGGTAAGGTGGCAGTACTTTCTTGGACAAACTCTTTCACGAGAGCTCTACTGCTACTAAATTACTATTTATTTGTCATAAAATCTTGCAGTCCCGGAAAATAGTAAACATATTTTTCAGTGCATTTTTGATGCTATACATAAGAATAGATCCGGTCGTGTATGGACTACTGCTGCCACTAATGGGATGGCTCTGCTAAATATCAACTGGCCACCTTGGATTCAATCGACAAACATACCAAGAGGCTTCTTGGTGACATATTGGTTAG